AAATAAAAGTGTTACCCATTGTGAATTTTGCTGGGACTGTTAAGAGTTAGAGGAGCACTCATTTCTTCTCAGAGAGAATAAGTTACAAAGCAGTAAAAAAACAAAACAAAACAAAACAGATATGAGGGCAAGAAAACATCGTTATTTTATATACAAGGGACACCATTGTAAAGGTAGCTTGTTTCTTCCCTCTCGGGTCTTTTTCCTCTTATCTTTATACCTCGAAACCAGAGGCATAATTCTTCAGCAGAAGCCTATGAATTTGTTTCAGGCAGTTCCCAAGCATACTGTGATTTGAAGGGAAAATGTTGTACATACAAGTAGTGGTACTGGTATTACCTTCTTAAAAGTCTGTAATTCCTGAAAAACAAGCAAAGAACAAAAAAGAACCATTGCTCCAAAAAGAACTCTGATGGGATGTGAGTGAAATTCAAGGTCGTCATCCCATTCTTATTTTCTCACACTCTTCAGTAATTCATTTTTCTAGGTTTCTCTTCCTGCTTCTTATGCCAAGAAGTACAATGAGAACTGCTACTCATATGGGGGAAAGGGATGTATGCGATACATTCTCAGAGCCTGACACTGGTTGATAGTTTTTTCCATATCTTCTCTTGGGTGCTTATAGTATAAAGCAGGAAGATGGCATGTAGGAAATGACCTTGTTACAATAGTACCCTTCCTGTATGTTATCATGCATGTTATATTAGAGGTCATTAGAGGGGTTCACAGGTCAAATAAAGATGCTGAAAGCAAGGACTTAGTAATCTGTTAAAAACTCATGGCAGGAAGCGAGGTGAAAGCCATGGGGTAGGTCAACTCATTCAGGGTAGTGTTCAAGAGGAATAGAAGGACCGCACAGCTGAAAGTTCTGCAGTGTTCATCTATCCCGCCTCTCCTTCTGCCACATCATCCTTCTCCCACCGACTGTGTTACTGAGATCAGAGCTAAAATGTGAGCAAGACAAGCCACAGAAGGAAGGAGTGGAACATGCTCCTTCTGAGAGAGGCAAGGGCAGGTAATGGAAATTCACTGACCAGCCCGATAAGTTGCTATGGGTGCCAAAGGGTGACCAAATTGAGACCTCAAAAATACTGACTGCCTCATGTTTCTTATGTATATTTTGCATATCATGAATACATGGTGTCTCGGGCATATTTAGTGCATCGTAAATATGTAGTGTTTTCTTCATCTTTCCATTTCTATTTTTGTTCAGACTCACATGCTCTACTTATTTTGTCTTAGAGTTTACTTTCTTTGCTGTGTTTAACACGTTGTATGAATTTCATTTATCTCCTTCGCTTTCTTGTCTCCTATAGTAGAATTAAATATTGACAAAAAACAGCAAATATGTTTTATTTGTGTACAGAGTATTTGTGGCCATGGAACAGGAGCTCCCAGTGGGCTTAGATGATCCTGTACCAGAGAAATAGAGTTTCTGCTGTTTGCTTACCACAGTCCTCCATAGCTTGAAGAAGGGACATTTCTGATTTTGGTTGACCTGGACTTTAATCCTTGCAGGGTTAAAATGTCAAAGAATTTTTTTGTGTATAACTCTCTATCTCCTGGTCTTTATAAAAGATGTACTCAGTATTGGTAGAGGTTAAGTATGTTTGGAATAGGAACTGGACTATCCCTGAAGCATAAAGAGTAGGAAGCATGTGTGACATTAGGAAGACTTAAAAAGTCCCCCTCCCCCCCCCGCCCTTGTATGAATAGAATGTACCCTCCTCTCCTAGTTTTTGTTACCATGGATGGTAACATGGATGATTTCTTCTTCTTTTTTTTCTTTTTTCCTTTCTTTTTTTTTTTTTTTTTTTTTTTGAAGCAATCTGCAGCAAGCCAGCAGCATGCCTGATTAAATAGAGACACTGCTCCCTCCCACCAGTCCCTCCCCTCAACCCATCTCTGGAGCAGTGAAGGAAAACACAAGGGCCTACTTGATTGATTTTATTTTCATTTTTTATTGAAAGCTTCATCAAAGAAAACAGAAGTTTAAACCTAACATCCACTGATCTACAGAAAGCCCAAGGAATGGGGGAAATGGTAGCTAACTTGACTGTGGTACAGATGAAAAAATTAAAAATAAAACCAGAAACACCATAGAGTTACAGAACTTTCCATGACAGAGACAGCAGTACAAAATGCTCGTAAATAAAGTTCGAATTTGAATAATGTTTCAGAAGTTTCATGAAGTCAAATATGGCCCAAAACAAGGGTTTTAAAAGAAGCTGTGTCCCTTTTTTTTTTTTTTTTTAAGAAACTGGGTATTTCATAGCAAGTACACTTTTACATTTATTTTTTGAAATTTAAGATTCCAATTATAAGCCTCTTCTTTTTAAATAAATGGAAACATTTATTTCCAGAATGGAGAAAACTTTTTCAAGTGTCTCTTTGAAATAGTTTTTATAGTTCCTGAAAAGTATGACATAACTCATTTTTTTCATATATGAGGAAATGACATATTTTGGGGAGGAGGACAGAGCATCTTTCTTAAGAATCTAAGACCAGAGGGTTTAAAATACAAAGCATAACACTAAAGTTACACTTTAGACAATACTTAAATTTGAAATGATCAGAAAAAATCCACTGGAGTGTCAAGGTCATTCACCCTTATTACTGTGATGCAAAATAAAATAATAATAATAATAATAATAATAATAATAATAAAACGATGCTTTTTTTTTTTTTTTTTCCAAAGATTTAAGATAGGGATAAGAGTGTATATTTAACCACAAGATGTTATTATATTCTCATAACTCAATTTTGAGTTGACCTTTTCTTCTGGTTAAAATTTCAATAGTGAACGAAACCAAAACAGCTTTCTTTTGAGGGAAGCCAAATACTTCGTTACACTTTTTTGTTTTTTGTTTTTTTTCCCTTTGTATTTGCAAGAATACAGCCAACTCTCAATTATTTGCAGTGGATGGGAAAGGAATATTATGGATAATAAAAATCCGTGGTATAAAATGCACTGACTGTTTTAACAATGAATTTAAACTCCTTCGCTAAATTAAGACTTAACAAAGAAAAAGACTGATTTGAATTTGATTTCCAAATGTTTCTTTTCCACCCCCAGGGTGAAATGCTAATAAAAGGAAATAGAGCCCAAGACTATTAAGTTGAAAAAAGAAAACAAAACAAATCTACCAAGTAGATAGTTAGCCCTTCAAAAATTGAGAGTGATTGTATTTCTGCAAGACTCCGTCACTGGGGAAGTTACGAACTTAGAGTGAATAAAATGGAAGATAAGTGTGATTCCGTGGCTTAGAGGTTATTCCTGCAGACTCCAAGCTTGACCTCACCTCTGCTCCAGCTTTAAAGCTTCCTGAACAGAAGAAGCATTTCTTAAAATATTATTTTCCTTTCCAGGGGAGCAGAAGTTATCCAACATTTTTTTGTGTCACAAGGAGCATATGTATTGGGGTATAAAACGAAAGAGAAGAGAAACCACCAATCTGGGGTGAGCTCACCTGTCCCACACGGGAAAAGATCTTTGGGGCCACTCAGAGATCTTGTATTTAGCTTTGTACCTTCCTGAACTCAGTCCAGTCCACAAAGGACAGCCAAGACCGAGAGCACTTAGATGAAGGAACCGATTTCATATTTAAGAATATTGGGTAAGAAGTGTTGAATTTGAGTTAGACTCAACTGTCTCCCAGTGCCACGGTGGATGTCATTTGTAACAAATTGATTCATTAATGAAATCCCATTATCACTCTGTCACAGGAAAGGGATAGTGTACAGAATCAATGAGCCTGTTTAAATTCCGTCAGTCCCTCAGATTGGAGGGAGATGCTGTCAGTCTCGGTGAGCTCAAAAATTTGAAGGATGCCAGGCACAGTAACACAAAAAAGCAAAATCTCATCCTTCACTTCCTACTGTGGACAAGATAATGTAGCTCTATGACATGTTTAAACTTTGTTAGGAGGTGTGATTCCTCAAATGTTCTGAATGTTGTTTATACACATACATAAATATTCCCCTTCGTTTGATTTTATATCATCTAAAAGCATTTATCACTGAAACCCACTTAAGAATTTCTCTCTGCTTATCAGTTCATCTGCAGTGGCTCGCGCACGCAAATTAAGAATGAGACTGAATTATCAAATGTAGTTTTAGTTTCCTACTAACATTATAGTCTGTCTAGACAGTCCATTGAAACTTCGGAATCATGAAGAAGACCACAAAAGTGCTATTCAAATCAAATCTCACTCTTCATTAATGGAGACTTTAGGCCCCCGTAAAAGATACGTAGAATTCCCAAATATTCAAATAAATTTTTTTTAGGAAAAAAAAAAGCTACTCTTTTTTGTCGTACATGAATTGAAATGATTTTTGCACAGTTTTGCAAGGGGTTGATGTATTCTGCAGGGACAGTGACCTTGCTGCTCCATCCAGCCTTTTTCTGCTCTCAGCCTTCCATCTCTAATATGCGCGCTTTTAATACCATGTAGTTTTTCACTAGAATGGGTGGAAGTGAGTCTTACATGCTGTCAAACGTGGCAGGTCTGTTAAAGTCACAGGAAGAAATGATTCAAGTGAAGCATGGAGACAACATCTGAATGATTGAAATTTACCAAGGAAACAGCCAAACTGAAGTCAGGTACAGGATTTTTTGTTTTTGTTATTTTTAAGAATATTATGTCACCTGCAACTATCAGGGCGTGCCCGTCTTCAAGGACAAACAGTCACCAGCACCTGCTAGCATGGCCTTTAGTTTACCTAGGGTCCAAGATAACTTCAGAACACATGGCCAAGCATTGAGTCACCATGCATGACTTGTCTCCCTGACAAAACCTTATCGTTGTTACAAGAAAACCCACTCCTCCACTGACCATGTAACTAGAGTTTGAACAAGGTAACATTTATCCCATTTGGATTGTGGCTTTGGTTTGTTTCCTGACGTTTAGAAGCCTTGGCAATTAAAGTCAAAAGGAAAAAATGGAAATACCTGAACAAATGTCTGGAAATCTGATGAACCAGAATACTTACATTAAAAGAAAAAAAAAAGTGTCCTAAATAGGATTAGAATCACCATATATATCAGTTGCCGATTAAATCAAGATTCTGATGTCTGTATATATTGAACACATTATTTTGGTTTGTTTTAGTCTTCATACAATGTGATGCTGCTTACCTGTTCATGCTTTTTTTTATTCCCCCAGACTTGACTCTTAAAAACAGTCATTAGGTAAGATGACAGATGCAAATTTGAACATGTGTCATTTTTCCTTTTTTTTCCTTTTCTTTTTGGTTTGAAATAAGATATTTTCTAGAATGGCATGATATTAAAAATCCAAACACAAAACACACATGGACACATAAAATGACAGGTAATTTCCTTGTGCCTAAAGTGGCTTAAAAAAATTGAGATCATTGAAATTTCATAGTTGAAAAAAATGTTTCTGAATGTATAAATAAAGCAGTAGTTTTGAATAGAAACAGGAAGTTACCTAGGCACATTCATCAGCCACATGGTAGCTACCTCTTAGCCTCATTGTTGATTGCGTAAATGAGACTTTCTTTGTATCACATTAAGATTTGTGTGTGTGTGTGTGTGTGTGTGTGTGTGTGTATGTGTGTGTGTGTGTGTGTTTTACAGAAACAAAAGAAAGCATGTTGGTTTCATAGTCAAATGAATTATGCCCAGGATAATCCTTATTTATACAAAGAGTTCAGAGACTGAAAAAGAGAAACAAAAAGCACAGTTCCTATACATATTCCTTATACCCCCTGTAACTCAGGGGCCTGCTTCGCAAAGATAAAACTTAAGTGCCACCCTTGAAATACATGAGATGCTTGAAGGACAGAACAGAAGAAAGCACACATCTAGGATTCTCTTGAGAGCATGGAAAACCATTAAGGATGGGTGTCACCAGATGGAATTTCTCTGTAGCAGCACATGCTACATTTTCTTGGATCCATTCATGCCTCTGATTTGACCGCAAAGATAGGGAGCCACTTTCTAAACTTGAGTTTCCAATTCATGGGGTTTCAAATAAAAGAACTGGGCCCGTTTCTGTTAACAGGTCACAAATAGCTGAATACTGACAATTTCAGAACAGCCAGACTCATTACTGATATTGACCTAATGGGAATGTGATTTGCCTTTTAAGGGTTTTTGTTTGTTTGTTTGTTTGTTTGGTTTTTTTTGGTAGTTTTTAAAAGCCTACCCTGTTTTCTTTAACAGTGCACTTCACGCATTTCCCTCTTCCCTCTGGACTAAGACAATTTCCCCGGACTTCGTTTGTGCAAAGACTTTCCCCTCTTTGCTTCTAATGATCCCTTCAGAAAGCAACTGTGGTGCATGGTTCAACTAACAAACTTCCATCAGTCTTAATTTCAGGTAAAACTATACAGGTTGAACATGGATTCCATGAGTCAAATATGCAGAGATGTTTGTTAAGTCAATCTAATTCACTTTAGACAAAGTTTTGCATCATTCTCAAAGCAAATATATCTCCTTTGGCTTTAAAGATTGAGCAAACCTAATACTTTTGGTTCTTATCAATATAAATCATACAATTTCTTGATTGTCAACTAGCATTTTAAAAGCTTACCTAAACTCCACTAACAGAATCCTCAATCTGATTGGTCCTACTTGTCTCAGAGAGTTAAACAGAAACAAAAGGTCTATTTTTGTCCTTCTTCTGACAACACCAGGGTATGAAAATGCAATGACAGGAGGCAAGAAGAAGATAGCCCCTCCCCACTCGCAGAATCAAGGTGACTATTCATGGTAGATGAACAAAGACTGAGGTGAGAAGACAAAACCTAGAGGTGTTGGATTGAAAAGGAAGACTATTGTTACAAATACAATGAGACCTTTTCAGGAGACCACTCATCACTTAACAGAATATCACTAAGCTGTTTTGTTTTGTTTTGTTTTGTTTTGTTTTTTGACAAGTGACCTTTCAGACCAGTTCCGGGAAGGACCTTTAGTTCAAAGTTCACAGAAAGGAATTTCAACCTGTTAAACAAGGGTCTCCACATATCAGTGGCCATCCACACAGGTGTCACCATTCAAGAGAGCTAGTAAGGAACTAGAAAAGCTCACAGATTGAATATAAAGCCATTTGGCTCTGTCAGTTGGTATCCAGAACTCTTCCTGCGGAAACTGCTGAACACAGCAGGTGCAAGCTTTTCTACTAGAATCAACAAATGCATGTTAACAAAAAAACAAAAACAGAAACAGGAACAAAAACAAAAACAAAACACCTTTTGTTGTGTTTTGTTTTGCAGTATATAAAACACCAGTGGAAGGTAGTTTAAACAAACAACAAAGTAAGAACTGGTCCGGCCATGTAGGTCAAATAAAATTCTTAAAAAGAAAAGAGAAGAAATGGAAAACAACCTCTATCTTCTGGACTGCAATAGGGTGCCACTTCATCTTTGGTATAAAATAGGCCATCCATAGGCTGAATTTGATCACAACTAGGAAAGACTACAGAAATTGTCAACAATTTCTCTATCTATTGCTTTTTTTGTTTTTTTTTTTTTGCACTTTTTGACCATAAGCTCCTATCTACTTAAGTTTTTTTTTTTTTTAATGCTCTTAAGCTAGGTTTTGCAATGTGACAAGCAAAGCTGACTAAAAACTTTGTAAAGCTCATAAAAAAGACTGCAGATAAAAAGCACTAATGCTTTTGCTAGCGATCACGCTTCGTAAATAAAAAAAATCTGCATTCTGCCCCCCAAACACGCATTATTTCTAATGCAGTTGTTTTTAAACCAACATTAATAACTTTACCGTAAAATGTTTTAGCCTTCTAGAATGATTCAACACTTAAGACAAAGTTCATGAAAAGTCCCAGCATTTTCCCAATTCTTGCAGTTGCCATGGTTTCTTTTATCAACAAATTTTCTTCAAATGAAGAAAAACATTTTCTTTTAAACTGTACAGTTTTTTTTTTCACCCTAAAAACTCATAGTCTTAAACTTCTGTACCAGTTAAAGCCGGCACAATATTTCAATTCTTTCTTGAATTTTTTTTTTTAACAAGACGTTGACAGCTTGCCTTGAGAGCCTTTGACGTCCTTAAAATTAAGGCAATTAAGATTCAAGATAAACCTTACCTAAATATTTCTAAGAAAAAAATAAAATAAAAAACCAACCCACTAGATTTAAACAAAAAGGGGAAAAGAAAGGGTAGCTTAATTACCAAGGAAGACAATTTGTTTCCATTTCTGCTTTGCCCACCTCTTGATATCTGATTTTCTGTTTTAAAAAAACAAAAATCTGTCTACATCTTCTGGTAAATTCTGAATTCAAATGGTCTTCCAGATAAAATGTCAACCTTCTGTGTTTTGTTTTGTTGTTGGTTTTGTTTGTTTCCTCTTCTGGGATTTTTTTCTTTAAAAAAAAAAAAGATGGCAAAAATAAACTGTCAGACCACATGAAGGAACCATTTGCACGGCACATAAAAACACTTTGTTTTCACTGGGTAAAGTAGAAAATTAAAAAAAAAAAAAAGAAAGAAAGAAAGAAAGAAAGCATTCCATCGACGCCTGTGCAAACTGGAAGCCAACTTCCTGTTCAATGAAGTTTCTTCGTTCAAGGCAATGTTTCCGACGAACATTCTTCAGTCTTGTTCATGGTCTGTGGAAACAATTGAGTTGAGTGTTCATTACATCAAAGCAACTGTGAAATCACTTCATGTGCTCTTTTCCAGTGAGGTCTCTTTAAAAGATACCAAGCCCTTTCAATATCTAGAAAATTGTACTAGTTTTAAGTTCTGTCACTTTCAGACAAATATATATTTAAGCCAGAGAGTTTGCTCACATTAAATATCAAGGCTAACAGATTAAGAATATCTTTCAAAATAAAGCAGCAAATTTGACAAATACAGGCAGACAAGCAATACTCCCTTTGTGCGCAGAACCCATTTTTTAACGTCTGGCTTATGTTGTAGGTACCCCAGAAATTCTTTGAGTAATGTAGTCCCCTCAAAACTCCTGTGGGATACATCACGAACTCACTCAGCAAATGTGCCCGTCCCTGTGTTACCCAAGATACAGCAATGGTTGTGTGTCTTCCCGTGTTATTCACCAAGTATATTCACAGAAGCCTTATCTGGGCCATTAAAATAGTAAGACAGTTAAGAGGCAGTGGGTTTTGTTCACTTTCTCTCATTCCCCCTTCTTCCTTATTCACCCATCTCATCAAGATTTTTAATTCTTGAGAACAGGCCCTATATTCTACGACTTTTTACTCTCCAGAAATCTGGCAGACAGTATATACATAATAAGTGTTTAACTAGACAAAGGCCACTTATACTTATGCCACCACAGACTAGAATTTTGTTAAATAACTTCAGGGATGTGCTATAAAAATGATTTTTGAAACTATCTATGGGTCAACTTTTTAATTTTTAAAGATTTTATTTATTTGTCAGAGAATGAGAGAAAACACACATAAGCAGGGGGAGCTGTAGGCAGAGGGAGAAGCAGGCTCCCCACTGAGCAAGGAGCCTGACCTGGGACTGGATCCCAGTACCCTGGAATCATGACCTGATCTAAGGGCAGACGCTTAACCAGCTGAGCTACCCAGGCACACTATAGGTCAATTTCAGTGAAGCCCACTTGTGTCAGTGCTCTGCAGGTTCTTCTGATGCCCCATCACTTAATTAAGTGAAGAAGCCTCAGCGTTGCTGAGGTTGTACAGGGTCGATCACTGCACAAGATGCATGGCTGAGAGAGTTTGTGAAGGCTAAATTGCCACCCAAAGTCTGATCCCCAAACTGTGTCCTCTGGGTAGGGCTGCATTTGCTCTGAGCAAGTAGCTTTTATTCAAATTCACAAAATGCCCTCGAGGATGCTCTAAGGTGCACAGCAGGTAGTCTGGGATGATCCAGAGAGGTTCTTTTTCCTAATTTGCAAAAAGCACTCATGGGAAGCAGCTAGGTATCTCAGAAGTCTGATAAACTTGTTCTTATAATCACGTAAGAAAAGCACCTAGCTGATAGTTGTTATTTCCATTTTTTTTTTAAGATTTTATTTATTTGACAGAGAGAGAGAGATCACAAGTAGGCAGAGAGGCAGGCAGAGAGAGAGAGGGGAGGAAGCAGGCTCCCTGCGGAGCAGAGAGCCCAACGCAGGGCTCGATCCCAGGACCCTGGGATCATGACCTGAGCCGAAGGCAGAGGCTTTAACCCACTGAGCCACCCACGTGCCCCCGTTATTTCCATTTTTAACCAAAAGTTTAAGTTTCTAAGAATACATATTTTGTGAGTTTTATGTGAAAAAGTGGGGCTTCTTTTAAGAAGAAATGCAATTAAAAATTCCGTACGATCAGCAACAATTAGGGAAACTTTATTAGCAGCAGTCATGGGAGCCAGGGTATATATTTGATCTCTATTCCTTTGCAAAGTGCAGACTTAACTCCATTTATTTCTAAACAAATCTACCTTGTCGTGGTAACAAAACCTCCCTTTGTTGGGTTTTGTGTTTTTTGTTTTCTGGTCCGTTCTTTCCTCACACTCCCATCTTCCACCTGACTGCTATTCATTTAGCAGGAAATGCCTATTACAAAGTGACTCTCTGGAACAGCTACTCCATGAATGGCGTCTTAGTCAATGGGCTACCCTAACACTGAACACCCACCCTGCTCAGGTATGTCACGTGCACTGGTCTTGAAGCATCCATATTTATGAGCTCAGTTACAGCTACTTTCAGCTGTAACCTTACCAAATGTTCCCAATGGCCCTCTCCCACCAAGTGGTCTCTTGCTACAGGCCAGCAGATGGGGAGCAATGAATGGTTGTCCACGCTTAGTAGAACTGAATTCACTCCTATCCACCTTCTCAGTCCTAGATGAGGTGTGAAAGCACGTTTACGTAAGGCTTATGTATTGTGCTGAATCTTCTCATCCTCCCCTCCAGCCCCCGAAGAAAGCAGAGTGAATAGATTAGGGAGTAGCAAACCACAGGCTTAGAATTCTAGACTTTTAGAGATGGAACGACGTCTTTGGGATCATCTAAGGATGCAGCGTCCCCCAGTTTGGGGGAAACCGCACATTACGCTCCCAATCCTGCACTACCCACAGGTAAACTAAACATATAGTTAGGGCACCAACCAAGAATGGTATCAGTACAAAATCAAACGTGTTTAAAGAATGAATCTTTTCAATTAGCATCAAAATAATCATCCTGTTGACAGTGAACGTTTTTTTACGTTCTTTAGTAACTTAATATGTATGAAAAAACTCTCAGAATTCCCAAGTAGGAAGTCCAGTCTACAGGCTAATCTTTCAGGAAGTGAAATGTTTGATTTATCTGGCCCTCTCGGCGGTCCGGCCATTAGCATTTTAATAGCTTTGAAGAGAACTGCAATTAAGAAAGCATTTCACTTAGGTTAGAGGGTGTTTGCTCACAGTCCCTGGGATTCCCCCCCCCCCCATCCCCACCCCCAACTCCGGGGAATGGTGGAAATCCCCTCTCAGCACTAAACCCTAATTTACACTCTTGGGAGAACACTGATCTAATCTCTTGCTCTAAAGAAGAGGAAAAGGAGGCTCCAGAGGGGTTAGCGACAACTAGTAGGTGGCAATTAGAATTTAACTGTGCTTGAAGACTCATATTTTTCAAACCCTGGTCATTTTTAAGATTTTTAAGATTTCTTAAATAGCACACACAAAAAACCCCCTGCTAACTGGGACAGGAACTGGAATTTCCACAGAACTTCCAAAACAAACCACAGGTATCACATCTGCCTTTGCAGATAAGAGCACCTAAAGTCCCTTTTGCGTGAGTAGCCTCTTTTAACAAGAAAGAAGAAGAAGAAAAAAAAGCATGAATACAAAATGTGAAGAACTGTTTTTTAGTTTGGAAAATGGAATTTGGAATAGTAAAATATCTGCTGCAAGAGATCCCAAATATAACCTTTCTATTCATATATGCACATCATTTCTACTTCTCAAACTTTGATCCCGCAACCTTCTGTCGGGATGTCTGTAATTTTCTTCAAAATATCTTTAGTATAGACATTATAGTACTAAATCTATGTGTGATGGGTTAAGCTACTTTTCCCAGGCACTCAGCTACCCTCATCCAAATTTCACACCCCACAGGAGGTCAGTTACCATTTAATGAGAAAGGCCAGAGGTTTGCACAAGTACTTTAAACTGTTCGTATCTCAATTAGCATAATGAGTGTCAGAAATGGGTGGCCTAAAGAAAGTAGCGGCATGTTAATTAGCACAATGATGCTGGAAATTAGCTGCCATTTGTGAAATTTGGAGTATTCAAGATCACTTGGATAGGCTAAAATATTTTAGAGATCCTCTCCAATGTAGGTGAAAGCTACAGATAGAATGTACGGACATTCGTAGCCTTTAACTTTAGGGATACTGCTTGTAGCTTGATCTCAAAACAGTTTATTAATTTATTTGTGCCCATTTGGTCTCAAATTATTAATTTATTTGTGCCTGCTTTCTTATGAATGCTTCCCTGAAAATGTCTCTGTGGCGACTCTTGCATTCCCACAAACTTTTTCCACACGCGGTTATATAAGAAAAAAAGAGCCCAGGTGTCTACATAACCCACAGGCTTAGCTCAATTCCCAGTGTCTTCTTAAATGGTTCCATGGAATTTCATGCTTTACCATGATACAGGTCAGCTTCTCCTGGCTGAGACAGATAAAACCTTCGATAGACACACATTCATTTCTTCTTTTTAGAAAATTCCAGAATAGGTTGTTACCTATCCATTTATTTGACCTAGAATATTATTTTTGTTTTCATTCACTATGTTATTGTTGTCGTTTCAAATCAAAAAAGCTCCCGGCACTTAGGTAGCATGTCAGAGAGGGGAAGTTGGAGAACATAAATAGGACCTGTTAACAATTTTCTCCAGGTTTGAAGATACGCACACGAGGCCATGCAAGGGGCAGTCACAGAGCACAGGTTTGAAATGCCCCATGGTCCTGTACGCTTTCATCTCTGGCGTGTCGCCACAAACTCGCCCTGTCGAACATCCTGTAACATACATTCCTGCATAAGTAAGTCCAAAGGAAAATTCCTCCAAATGAGGAAACCCTTCACCACAATGCTTACTGCTGTGAAGATATGTGTGGAGGGTTTCTTTCTCTGATATCTATCCTCTGTGGAAAGGCCCACATTATCAGCCATAGGAATCTGTAGTTCAAGGCACGTTAACCATGTGACCATGGTGGGGAGTTAGTTTTAAAATGTTTAAGCACTTAAAGCTTTCTGTGGTCAGACTCAGACTCCTTGGATAGTTCAAGGAAAAAAGCTTATTAGAATTGACTTATTATAAGGATAATTAAATCCCTTATCTTTCTCTACAGATCAGGGCCTCCTTGGTTTTCATCTTATCTGCCCCCGGTTAGTAGCATCAGTAACTCCAGGATTTTGTTCAGAATTGTAATGCCCAGTTTCCACTTTCCTCCTCCTTCAGTCTATCCCTCCCACCGGTACCCTCATCCTCCACACCCTATCACACTTGCCACCATCTTACTTCAGACCTTTGTTCCCTCTTGTCTGAATCCTTGGGATGCTGGACTGTTTCCTTGCTTCCAAATCCATTGTTTACCTCAGCTGGAGGATCATTTGTAGAACAAAGGAAATGCTGTCCAAACACCTCGGTATGACATCTGATATTAGAATCTGGCTCCAATCTATTTTTTTACACTGTTGTACTATTCTGAATCCCCTTCTCTGAAAATCAAACTGAGCTTTCTCTGACTTTGGCCAACCTGTTACTCCCCCTAGAACGCTCCTTGACTATATGTAAGACCCAGTTCCAGTTTCCACAACTTCCACCAAAACTGACCCAGTTGAGAAAAATAAAATGCATTCTCCTATTACAACAGTATTTTTTAAAAGAGCCCTGTTCATTTTCTTCCTTGCAGTAGACACATCATGTCTATGTGTATGTCTAAATCCCATACTAGATTATAAACTCTGGAGGGCAGGGATCCTGTCTCCCAGTATAGAAACTGGCCTGATGCTGGAAACTCCAAGTGCGGAATGTTGGCATTCCTTCCCTTAAAGCCTTCCAGAGCTTTTGTGACTCTTTTCAAGTAAAACTGAGAATGATTCCTGTAGACAAAGCCAAGTATCCAAGGACCAAAAGCTTTATAAAAACTGCCTGTTTGACTCTGTCTCCTACACCCCTTCCCACCTCCTCCCCCTTCACCACACTCTAGCCGCAGGTCCCTATTCTAGACCTTTGGACTTCCTGTTTTTTTCTGCCTAGAATGTTTTTTCCTCCAAATCTCTCCAAGATTAGCTTGTAATTATCTTTCAGATCCAGACCTCTGTGAGAGGCCTTGCCTGATACTTGTCACTTTCTACCACAAGAATCTTTTTTAAATATTGACTTGGCTTTGCAATTCTGTTGGGTTTTATTATTTATTATTTATTTATTTATTTATTTATTTTTATTGTTTGCTGATTGGTCCACTGCCTATGAGTCTACTCCCAGCAGGAAGTAAACTCCAAGAGAGTAGGAAAGGCACCTGCCTCCTTCATTGTTCTTTTCCTGGCATCTGGAATTCTGCGGGCCACAGAGTATGGCCGTATCAATAACTGCTGACTGGGGAGGATGAAAGCATCTCTTTTATTTATCCAGACATCGTTGAACTGTTAGCAAGAAGGGTGCGGATCACTTGTTTCCTCATTATGCTCTGAAACCGTGAAAGCCGGCGTCGCCTACTCACCAAGTGTCTCTGGCCAATATAGTAGCTTTCATTTCCCACCAGTGTCTCTCACCATGCTTCCCCACAGCCAGTGTCTGCTCCCTTCTCACACGTGACCCTCTGAACAGACTGAAAAAATTCCAGTATGCCAGGAACACAGTACCAGAGACTACCATATTGTTCGGTATGTGCAAAAGGGATTCACGTAGGCTATAGGTGAATTGAAAATACAAACTAGAAACAAAACCATGCCCAAAAATGCTTTACTCTTATGGATCTTTCCCGAAAGTTGTTATGTGAAAGTAATAATAATAGTAATAAAGGTTAAGTCACATGGTCAGCACATTTAATTTGGAAGACTACCTTTAGAAGCTAAACTACTTATAGGAGACTCCATTACCTTGATTAATCTTTCAACAAACAAGTCTCTCAATATGTATCAAAGTTAAATAGGAATGATCAAGAAATGGGAGCAACACTCTGCAGGTGGGAGGATCTCTCGGGAATTCTCTAGTCACTGGGGCTTTGACTGCTACCTACAGATTAGAATACTTTGCACAAGACATCTGTATGTAGATTGAATTTTTGTTAATTACTTTGGTTTCAAAACCTCCCAAATTTTAGTCTACATAATTACTCAACACAAAGCCAACTGTACTTTATAAATGACTTAAAGTTTTGCAAGAGTAATTCTGATACATGGTTGTTGCTTTGTCATTTAATTCCTAAATAAGACTTCACATTGATTTAGATTTCACAGTACCCTTTTTCATGAACTACTTTACTGGATGTTCAAGGCAGCCCTGCAAAAGGAGTGGTACTGTCTTCATTTAAGAATGCATGCAGGCTCACTATCCATTTCAAGTGGGAATATTAGAGAATTTTTCCCAAAAATATGTATGGTAGATTTTTTTTTTTTTTAAATGCCCCTTTCTGTATTTAGGGTTTATGTGAACTCTTACATAAACTCTGGGCTTGGCCATGTGATTTTCTTTGGCCTAGGGGGCAGTAATAAATGCATCCAAATGGATTGAGAAGTTCTTCATTTGCACTTCCTCTCTTGCTGCTCTCTGAATTCTGGGACTTCCAGGTGAATAAGCTGATGGAAGATCAGAAACACATAATCCAATTGCTTCCATTATATTCAACCAATAGACGACTGACACCCAGAAGGAGAGCTGCAAAAATGACCATCAGCTGTCCCCAGATGCTTGAGCAATTCTAGTCAAGACCAGAAGGTCAGTTCTATCTGAGGTCAGCTCAAATTGCTGATCCACATAATCATCAACAAAAATAAATGCTTGTCACTAAGTTTGGGATGGTCTGTACTGCAGCAAAAGCTAACAGCTACAACATGAGAGAATGGTGGTGAGATGGTCAATCTTAAGGAGAAGAGCTCAGCATAGCCCGAACTTACTTAGACTGTTGGTAAGAATATGCAGGTGCATGTTCGCTGGATGTGTCCACTGCTATCTGTTGCTGCTGACCACTGGTGTCCTGGGATGAAGGTGCCACTGTCTGGGGAGAGGTATCAGCAACAACACCCTAAGGAGGCAAGTAAGAACACAAAAGCCTTACTGGTTTTAGCAAAGGGCCTTCTTCCAGATGGACAACAGGGAATACCTCTCTACTGTTTGGCTTGAGTAGAGTTGCACTCGGTCAAATGAAGCTACAGGAAGTACCCAAGGGAAAACCACAGAGCGCATTTGGATAAAGGCTGAGGAATTCCCTTTAGTGTGTCACCAAGAGGCCTTGCCCACAGAAACCTCTACCATAGCTAAATGGTCAGAAAATCATTTTCACCAAACTTAGAACTCCTAAACCATGGTTGCATATAGCCACACTAAATAATAATTTATTAATCAAAAGCTCATGCAGGATTCCTATAAAAACTTGTATATTCAAACATTTCCCTGGGGTAGTGTACCACGTCATGTCTCTTTGACATGGCAAAACAATGGCTCTGACCTAAAAAGGAAAGGAAAAGAAAGGAAAGGAAAGGAAAGGAGAGGAGAGGAGAGGAGAGGAGAGGAGAGGAGAGGAGAGGAGAGGAGAGGAAAGGCGAGGGAAGGCGAGGAAAGGCAAGGCAAGGCAAGGAAAGGCAAGGCAAGGCAAGACAAGGCAAGACAGAATACATAAAAGTTTGGAATTCTTTTAAAAGGATACTGTTAGGTAGGTTTTCCATTCAGCAGTTTGGTTTGTTTTGTTTTCTACAACATGAACTAGAATTCATTTCGAGGTTTCAAAAAACAAACATCCTTAATCCTGATTTGCTACTTCCCCCACCCTCTCGTTTTTCACAGATGCCAACAAGGATGCCAACAAGGAGTTGATCATCATTAGGGAGAGATGTTTGCTTCTGAGAAAGGCACACATGGTTTTATTTGGCAGGTGGGAGGCTTAGAGAGGGCATCTCTCTAAATACATTCTCTTGGTTTTATTCTTAGTCTTGGACACTTACAGTGATGTCAGCTTTCAAAACTTCTTGGTCAACTCTCTGTCCCTAATTAAACGTTCCTTAAATTATTCCTTAGAATCCAAAAATTCTCTTTTTCCCCCTAATATACAATTGGTATTGTGCATTTTTCTGAATGTCCCACCAGCATTTATTTGTGTGGATATTGGTAAGTTTTCAACGAGTGTTTTATATAGAAAATATATTGGTGCTTTTTCTATAACTCAAAGCAATTTATCAAAGTGTACCTCCATTTTTCGTAGTGAAAGACTTCTTCTTCTTCTCCTTTTTTTTTCTTTCTTTCTTTTTTCTTTTTTTTTTTTTTTTATTATGCCCAACGTGGGACTGGAACTCATGACCCTGAGATCAAGAGTTACATATTCCACCTACTGAGCCAGCCAGGTACCCTGACTTGAAAGATTTCTTTTTAAGTATAGACATCTTTTTAAACTATATTTAGACTGTTTCTAATAAGTCACATTGTTAGATGTGTCCCATTATTTTATAGTCATTAGAACACTCAAATTCTGTAGATAAGCACATCCATATGTCAGTGTAGACAAAGAAAAATGCAAATATGTTGTAGAGATCTATGCTTAACATGCCAAGAATGTCTAGATTCTGATGATCTAGATGCTTTTTGATGGTCAAATACATCATCAAACAACAAGCAAAACCAAAGAAAGCCCACATGTATTTTAATCAGGTAGTCTTGAAATTCTGAAAAGCCAATTAAAACTTGATCAGTACTGACCCATTCTTTGGGGCCCACAGGTCCAGAGCACATAAAAGATTTAAAACTGGACCTCTTTGGTTTCCTAAATTACATGATGGTGTTCTCTTAAACTTCTGTGTTTCCCAAACCTTGGTACTGGCCAATATCTGGCATATGCCAAAACAAACATTGTGTAAGATCCAATTTATTCTGTGAAGATTTCCCCAATCTCTATAGTTGTAGAGATTGAGCAAGTCATGGTAGACCTCCCTGTGGAGTGGTGACAGCACTCAAGTTGCTGGCCAACTCATGGAGTAGGAACAGCACGGCCTCCAGAGGGGTCCCTGCTGATGGGAAGAAATGCACTGTCATCATTAACAGCAAATGTCATCAGGAGAAGGGGAAGTGTGGCAAGAGACCATAATGGCTAGGACTACACAGAAATATACACGTCTAAGTGTTTTACCACTACTACATAGCTCTATGCTCCTTTCTTTTCTATGTAGCTTGCTGGCTCTGTCCAGTAAAATAATTTTTACTGGGGATGGATTCAGCCCAATGGAAAGAGAGAAGGAAAGGGACAAAGCTTCCATCAAAGATAAGATGATTTCATCATTGTGGTAACCATAGCAAAGAGGGTGCAACTTTTTTTTTTTTTTTTTTTAATTTATAGGAAGCCACAAACTTGCCAAGTTTCATTCACTAAAGCAGTGGTTATTAATCCTTGATACATATTAGAATCACCTAGGTTTTTTTTTTCTTTTTCACCTGAGATCTTTTAAAAATCCTGATGTCCAGTCAATACCCCAGACAAATAAATCAGAATCTGGGGATAGGACCCAGGCATAAATATTTTTTAAAGCTCTCTAAATAATTGCAGAAAATAATATACAGAGATGTTTGAGAACCAGTGCACTAATGTGAAGATAGATTCCCAAGGGATCTTGTTAAAATGCAAATTGTGATTCAGTAGGTCTGGGTAGTGTCTCAGACCTTGCATTTCTAACAAGGTTCCCACTGATGCTGATGATGACCCTTGGTCCAGGGACACTCCTTTGAATAACAAGGCGCTAGCAAACTCATTCAAATAGTTGCAAACTCTTTTTCCTGCCCTACTTATGAGTTATTTGTGGTTAACATTTGATGGGGTAGTGATTTGGTCTCTGATCTTTATAAAAACGATACTCCCCTCTTACCTTTATAGCATATTGATTTATTTCATGTGCAATGCACAACATAGGCATGTTGGCGTACTTTCATACAGTGAGCCTGAAATGTCAAATTTTAGAGCAACCCCAAGACCACAAATAAGGATTGCCTGGGTTATGGGGGACCACGGTGCATGAGGCTGAGATCTGTCATCCCTACCTCTTTCTATAAGACAGAGACAGACTTACTTCAATAGAAACAGCTGTTGGAGGCACAGGCGTGTACTGGGGAATGTAGGTCCCTTGCATAGGAGCGGCAGCAGTCATATACTAGAGAGAATCAAAGAAAAATGCAGGTGAACTTGAGATTGTAACTGGCGAGAAAAGTAGATATCATATGAAACTGTTTTAGATGTGTAGCCCACAGCCAGTACACTATCACACTTCATTTTGATCAACGACGAGGCAGTTCCTATTCAGTAGAGAATGACCTTTCCTTACTGATTCAGCATGAACAGCAGCCCACCTCCATGGTATGAGTGAGGTATCATCCCCCCTCCCTCACTTTGTCTTTGTAAGCATTCTATCTTAGTTCCCAACATGGCAGTTTCACGTCTAAAACATACATTCCATAAGGACAGGGATGATATCTGTTTTTTTTTTCCTTAATTCTCATTTTATTGCTAGCACATATCACACAGTAGGCTCTCAATGAATCATTTGTTGAATGAATGAATCATCAGATTGTTAGCAATCATTTTTTTCCCTAACTTAAAAAAAGAAAAATAGAGGAATAATGCAAGAGATATGCATATAGCAATATTCAGAATTGGCACATGTTCTCATTTTGTCATTTTCCTATCACTTTTTTAAGTACAAAAGAAATAGTATTACAGATAATAACAATAATGACAAAGTTTCCTTTGAGCCCTTCCCCCTTCCATATTCATGTCACTGGCAGTATTTTCTTTTCAACTCCTTTAGTTCTCCAAATGTTCTTCATCTGGATGGACAATGAAACAGTCAAACCATTTTTCACTAAGTTGCAGTATTCAGTAAGCCACGTGTTGAAAATAAGCTGCATTTTTCCATTGCAGAAAGGGAGCCCCAGGAAAATTACTCGCTCACCCACATAACCCAAATTCCATATTCCCATGTCTAATGCATATCTCCCCTGCAAATTCAACATTCTACTCTTTAAGAATAGAATTTTCTATGGAATCAGCTGTATTCCCGAGCTTCTGAACTTGACTAACATCCTGAAAACGTCAGAACCAGCATCATCGACTGAAGACACGTTCTCTCCATTCACGAAGGTTGAAGACCTGATTCTGACAGAAAGCTGCAAGCCTCTGCTACTTTATTCTTCTAAATTTGCTGAGTTCAAATATAAATGCCACGCATCAATATGCAAAGCCTAAATTACTATGTCTTGTGTATCTTTGTACTTTCAGTGTGCAGGCGATGTAATGGTTCTCAATCAAGGGGAATATCTGAATGGAGATGAGCTCCTCAGTTGGTGGTGGTGGTGTTCAGTATTCATGGAGAATGATAGCAATTAAGCAACTTTGGAATAAACGTATCTCTATCCTAAACCAAAAACTGTCTTACTGTATCTACTTGCTAAAAATAGACAGGCTTAATGAAACAACCCTAAATCAAACAAAACCTAACTGTTGTCTATATTCCACATATAGGAAATAATAAGTGGGCACCACGAAGGACAACTCAGTTCAGTTCCTATCTATACAGAAACAACCTTGTCACTTGGACGAAGAGCAACTATTTGAATGGCCTGGAGATGTTTACATCAGTTTACACTAAAAAATCACCAGAGATTTCTATGCCCTAGCCCCTGTGCTCTAACAGCAGTCATCAATTTTCTATTGAAATTATCCAGACTGTCATCTCCTTAAAGGCAGAGGCCAAACTTTTCATGTCTCTGTATCTTCCAAAACACCATGCCATGCCTAATACTTGATAAATAATTGTTCAATGGCTGAAGAGAAAGTTACAAGAAGAAAGCCTTCCATTTCCAGTTACATATCTTGCATGCCCTTAGCTGTTAATAATTCTGAGCTCACTGCAGATATTAATTTTACTACCCCCATAGTTTGTTTGTATAACCTTTAAACATACACTCTGCCAACTCTCCTCATTATTGACCTTTCGTCTTTAAGCAGACATAGGTACTCAGTTATCTGATTGCTATCAGTTTTTCCAAATAAGTACAGAACACAGAGCCACCTTTTGGGAAAGAGTATTCCACATCTAGAGCTCCACGGCAGGTGTCTGCCTTGCTAACAAAACCGCTCTATTTCGGGGATAATAGTCCATTGGCCATTTCAAGATAAGCGGTTCTCTTATGTTATACAGGTTATTAAAAATCCTTTAACTGAGCATTCTTTATAATATATTATTTTTGAATGGTAGCTCAGCTGGGAAAGGAGCTGTTTTCTAGTGCATTACAGCAAATGCTACAGAATGTATCTTCTTTTGTGAAATTGACATACAATAAAAACTGAGAAGTCAAGTTTTACAGTAGCTTATTTAAAGATGGTTAAACCAGACTAACTTACTTCCTTCTTCCTTTCCTTCCTTCCTTCTGGTAGCATCTACTAATTTTGCTTAGAACTACATGCTAAGGGTGGGAAAGTGAGAAGATGTGGTGTCTGGGTAATGGCCATTGAGAAGGGTATGTGCTGTGCTGTGGTGAGCACTGGGTGTTGTGTAAGACTTATGAATCACAGACCTGTGATTCATAATAATATGTTATATGTTAATTAAAAAGAAAGAACTAGTGCTCTAAGGAACATAAATTGGAAAATGCTTCTCTAATTGAATCTCAAAAGTCCTAGCAGATTTGTAACAAGGGAGAATATATTTTTGCCAACTATGAATTTATGTAAGCCCAGAGCTGATTCTATTGGGGCTCATGTTCTACCTTCTCGTCATGGTTTTCCAAGATTTATAATATACAAGTAAAAGAATACCTCATTGATTCGGGTATTTTCTATTCCCAAGTTAGTAATTCCAAACTTCGCAACTGGGTCTAATAAGTGAGCATGTATCCTTTGCATGAGAATATGATACCACTGGCACTTACCTATAGGACACTACTTTGATCTGTCCCAGCTCCACTTTCTGCATTTCTCAGGAGCCATTTCTGTGAGCTATGAGTAGGGGCATGTCTTGGGTCATGCAGAGCAACACTCATTCTAGTTCACTAGTTCACCAACCTCACTGTTAGACCAACCTTGCCAAACTAGAGTTCTCAGGCAGTGTAGTTAATGAAAAGCATTTTATGTGATTCTTAGCTAAGCTTCTTCAAATAACTTTGAGTTAATTCAAAATCTCATCTGTATTTTGTCCAGTAGACCAGAATCAGTATATTTTCACAAGTCCCATGACATTCAGGGAAATTGTCAACATGGCCCAAACTGAACTGCTTATGGCACAAATCCATACTCCTCTTTAGAACAATACTGTGAGCTAGGAAGAATGGCTCACCCATTTCACAGACTGAAATAAGATCCCATGTAATAGGAATAAACTTCAGTTCTTCTGACCCATGACTGAGGACACTTTTCAGTCTACTCCTTTATCTTTGAAATTAAGTAAATAAGGTCTTAGGACATTCCTTTTGATTGTTCCCATCTAATATAGATGTCAGGTTGGTTTGTTGTTGTTGTCAACGGGCTGGAAAAACTGGAGATCCAATTAAGAAACATGGGATGATATGCCTTTGGTTAATATTTTTATTGTCATTTCATTTCCATGGATTTTCTATTTACTTTGTGCTCACAATACCTAAATTTCTTCCAGGAGGACTACCCTATATGCATCACTTATTTTACAAAGTAACTTACTCTTCGGCTACTCCTCTGAACAGAACCAAGAGAGATTTTTATAGTATAAATGACATCAGCTCAGTTCAGTGTGCTATATCTTTTAATGAAAAAAAGTCTTTGTCCCCCCCCCCCCCGCCTTACAAAAAAGACAATAGACAGAGCTTGAGAACATTGAAAATTAGGAATAGGCTTATTTTAAACAAGTCAATACTGTGGAGCTTTATGCCCCGTAAGACTATTATTTCTGGATAAACTTTTGCAATAAAACTCTGAAGGAGTAGACACATATATTGTAGGGTGAAGCCTCAAGAAGTGACAGCTTTGTAAAATTCGGAGCAAATGCTTACAGGAAATGGCTCCAGCTATGTGTAAGATCAACTCCCAGCTTTAGGTAATTGGTGACAAATAACTCTGAACTTTCTTGGCAAGCACAGTTTGATTTCCTTAAAAGCACAGATAAACTACAGTCAGACTTAATAATCCAGGCTGCACAAACACTGTTTAGATCTGGATGCCTCAGAGACTCCTTTTATTTTATCCACCTAGCAAATGACAAAGGACTAAGAGAATGCCTTGCAATATAAGAAATCTTTCCTTTTGTCTTGGTAAATTGCTATAGATTACTTATTAAAACCATACCAAGAATGGATGTATATCCTTTAAGCTAATTTCTTTTATTGGTATGTCTCAAAGGCTAGAAAATATCTGCCACCATTCTTTCATGAATACCAATTATTTTGCATTTATTTTATACCATGGCTGACGAGAACCACATTGCAATGAGATGAAATGGATAAAAGAAGTATGTCCATATGATATTTCCTTGTTGGTAGCAACCCAAGGTTTAGGCATGGTGGAGAAATTTTATGGTTTTGGTAAACAGCTTGATTATTTTTACATATTCTAAAAGCATTGGACTTTCACATGTAAGTTTGAAGGAGACCTGAATAGCCATTTTCAAACCCACAGAATAAATTCCAGACTCCATCACTTGTTCCAAGAAGTCTAGACGCTGCATCACCAAGATAGTTACACAGAGAGAAAAAAAAAAATGGTGAAATTGGAGAGGAATTGTGTTTTTGCCTATTTAAGTCAGGACAAACTGTTTCTGTTACTGTGGAATCATTGATTATTTCCGAGGAAACAAAACTCCACATTTTTAGTTTTGGATTTACTTTCTCTTCCCCCACCAAAGCAAAACAAATATGTTTTATATATTTCCTGTGAAGAAGTTTTCATTTAATAATTTGTAGAGCAAGGAATTTCCTCCACTTGAATTTTTGAAATTTCTTCAAATAATTTATCAAATTGGCTCATTTGGAGTTGTCACTAAACTGCTTAGATTTTAAATTGGTGCTTCTAATCCTTGCTATAAAATTCTTCAAGCTGCTTAAGAATTCCAGAAAGAGGACTTGTCCAGGTACTATCAAACCTGGAAAGTCGGCATAGCTGGCAAAAATATATTCTCACTTGTCACAA